ATCCGAATGCGAGTAGCGCTCAACAAGTTTGGCAGGGCGAGCATGCAGCAGTTCGTCGCACAACCGCTTCTGGACGCATTGCGTATGGATCAAGGAGCGTATTCTGTTCACCCTATGCTCTCGCAATCTGGTTTTCGTGAGATAATCGGTTAACGGAACCTTAGCTTGCCTATAGCTTGAAGCCACAGAAACAAGCTTCACCGCGATCGCCTCTAAAAAGCAAGCGCCCGCGAATGTGGCTCGTCATTCTCCGATGATCAGCTCAGGAATCGAGCGATTCGGCAGCCACGACGTATATGCTATTGGAGATCTACGAGGCTGTGACGCGCATGGAACTGGTTTCCCATGCATGGGATTTCCAAATCACGTTCAGGAAAAAGCATGGGGATTTTCAGTGACGTACTTGCCTGCAACAGGTTAGCACCGCGTTAGCGATGTCACGTGCGTTGGTTCTCAGCCACCAATCACGCCTGTATCGTGGCTTGTCGTTCAAAGTCATCCAATCTCATGACGCGCCGAGAAAGCGCAAAGGCAACATGCCACTGCCGTGCATCAAGCCTAAGCAAAATCTCCGCGGTTCCAGGTTTAATTTGGATGCGGGGGGCTGGTACCGAAGCTGACGGTGACGGTGAGTGACGACCGTGTCAAACGGGCAAGAGGGGCCTGGTCTTTGTGTCACATCGCTGTCACCCCATCTTCAGAGCTATAAGATAGTAGATCTTCGCGCTGCCCTCATCTTCAGCATTCAGCAGAATTCACCAATCCATCAATACCATCCACGTCGACATCCAGCATATCAACATGGTGCACGCCCAGGAGCCCATTGACGGTCCGGTCGACTACCCAGTCACCGACAAGCGCGAACAAACAGGTCTCCTTACGCGTCAGTAACTACCCATGAACTGGATGTGAGACAAATACTGACTGCGTACACCCATCTTTAGGCTTTGTGCCGGACAAGCTCAAGAACACTTCCTTCTACCGTTGGTTCTTACGTTTCACACGCCTCCTACAATTCATCAGCTCTGTGGTCTCACTCGGCATCTTTTCTCAACGCTTATATAAGGTGTATCGCCTTGTCAACAGCGTCAAGACCTATCGCGGCATCAACGGCAGCTATGGTGCAGTTGAGGGCATTCTTGCCGCCGCCGTGCTGTATACCTTGATCACGATCCTACTTTCTTGCATCAAGAAGTCAGCGAACCCTGGCGGACGAGTACTCCGATGGATCTGGGTACTTCTCGACCTTGCATTTGTTGGAGCATTCATCGCAGTGGCTGTGCTTACGCGACCCAACGGAGGTCTTGCTGGTGCTCGTCACTGCTACAGCCCGGAGCGTATTGCTAACGGCAATACTGGTGTTGTTACCGGCGCGACTGCGAGCCGTGATGACAGCTGTAACCTGCCGTGGGGCACCTTCATTTTGGCAATTATCAGCACGTATGTTCTCCGCTGCCCAAATCCCTGGATCATCTGCTAATTGGCTACCAGACTCCTCCATGCCATCACCGCCTCCTTCCACGAGATTAGGGACCACCGCCGAAAGGCCAGGCTCGAACACGAGAAGGCCGTTCAGACACAAACCGAGGCCGCCGCTGATGGCGTCCGCTACTAGATTCCCAAACCGCTCGATGTTCCGTTAGAAAAAGGGCATGGGGGTTGTGAAGCACGAAGGTGTGCCCACACATATCTACCAAGCCCCACGAACAACACACACGTATACCCATAGTGCATCAGCCCAGCCCTTGATGCATTATATCCTCACGAGTTTCCACCTTAGCGAATGGCGCAACTGGGCCGGAGTTTCTGTAGTCATCGAGCGAAATAATTCTGCGTTCAACTAATGCAACACCTACCGTATATTCTACTCGAAAATTTCTATCAGATGGTGATGCCAATTCCGAAGTAACAAAGCTGGTGACGCTATCCATCTCGGTGACCCGCCCACCGGCCTAGAAATCGCTCAACACAGTCTTCTCAAACTCCTCTGCATACTCTTTTGCTGGGGTGATTGCTCCAAGCCAATACCCACCCCTAGCATCCTTACCAACACACATACCAATGCCCCCTGAGCTTTTACCCCAACCGTCCACCCGTCTATCGTGACCGTTAACACTGATATACATAGGCTTTCCTCTGGTCGGCCTACTAGTCAACCCACCGTCGTCACCATCATTAGAAACGACAGCAGCGCTGAAATCTGTATCAAACAACGTTGCCTTTGCCCAGTTTGAGAACACGTAGGCTGCCGGCCCCATCTGCGGATCCGACGGAGGCGTAAGGTTTTGCTGTCCGTTGCGGCTGGCACGCTGCGAAGCTTCCACCGCCTCTCTATTCGCCTGCTCAACCAGATCTTTGCGAATACGAGCCGCAACGTGACCCAACGGCATACCGACAAACTGCTGTACACTGAACGCCGAAACGATTCCACCTGTGCAGTTTGCAACATATGCTTTCCCTTTTGGAATCAAGACCTCGTATTTGGATGACGAGGTAGATAATACGTCTCGCATACCCAAGACATTGAGAATTATGATGGGTCGAGCAGGTGGTGAGTTGAGCAGAGAGGTGTCGGATGAAACGAGATGGCGGATTAACCATGCTGAGAAGATGTCGCCGTCCGAGAGGAAGGGCTTTGGTTCGGAAGACGTTGAGGTATTGTAGGTTATTTGTGAGGCGTCGAGAGATTCAAGATCGTGCATTGCTTCAGTTCGCAAGCGAGCCATGTAGGCCGCGGGCATGTAGAGCATACGGCCGTTCTGCGTTGTCGTCGGTCCAAAGAACCGAGAGTAGAGGTATGCGAGCGTCGCTCTGGGGTCTAGCAAGCTTGGAAGCCAGGTCGTGAAGTTTGACATCACCATCCAGATCTGAGATTGCGCTTTCTCTTGCACTTGCGTAGTGCTGGCAGTCAAACCCTCTGCATCCTGGTTGTCCTCATCGAGAGGAGCCCCGAGCCGCGTCAATGGGTCGAAATCGTAACCCCAGAACTCTGGTACATCTTCGTCTCTACCTTCCAACACTGCCGTCCAGGCTCTTAGTAGAGTTTGTCGTCCCATCGCATCAAGAAGCGTATGTAGCCAAGTCAGGGTGACGAGTGTCGCATCCTTGAAGCTCGCTACATGTAAGCCTAACTGCGCTTCGTCTGAAAAAATCCAGTCATCAAGGACTGAAGTATTGCCCTTCGCACTTATAACCCCGCGTTGCGACTCTAGAACGCCGAAGACCTGGACACTGTCGTTACGCTCGTTTGCAGTAGGAATCTGGCAACCAAGAGGATGGTCCTTCAATTTGCAGTCATAAATCCCATGCGTGAAGTTGACTGGCGGGCGTTCTTTGGTGTACTGTGCTGGTATGTGGTATTCAAGTTTATCGTTGCTGGTATTGAGGCGCAGTCTCGCTCCCAACTTCCTCCAACCCGGTTTCTCCAGCAACCTCCATAATGCTTCGACAAGCTTCCGCTCATCAAGAACATCGTCAAAACACATGGTGTATTCGACTGAAACGTTTCTGTTTTGATGCGTGTCGTCGCGACTGTGGAGGGGTATGATGGTATCCGTGGGTATGCGAGGAGGAGCGACTCGCTGCCCAGTGAAGTAGTTCGACAGGAAGGACATGTTTAAGAAAGCGAAAGCTATCACTGGGTGCCTCACAGAAGAAGGAGAAGGTGATTCACCGATGTGGTATCAATTTTGGTGCGGGCAGATACTTCAAATATATGTCTAGCGTCTAAGCGACGCGAAACCAAATGCATGCCCAGGTGTGCTACAAGCGATACTTGGCTACGCCCGGGTGGTATCTCACGTGAGAGGTATCGGATAGTCCATTGCCCAGGGCTTGTAGACCTTACATCCGCACTAAATGGCGTTCAGATGTGTGCCTACTAACAGTAGGGGTGCCAATCATATGTGCCTTGGTGTAGTAAAGGGCTTGGATTAAGTAGCCTACCGGCTGAATGTGGATAGCTTCGCAGTAAGGCTGACTTTACGCCAAGCCTCGCATACCGGTCAGCGGGATCTCGGGAGAGTCCAATTCCCGAATTGCCGGGAAGTAGAGATATACGAAGATACGAAGGTCGTGGCGGATTAAAAAAGTCTGAGAGTTTCCACAGACCGCCTCACGGGGCGACAGTCGCCGTCGCCTGCAGCCTTGTTATAGCTTGAGAACGAGAAGCACCGGCAATATGAAATATCAAGGGGTCATCATGATCATCATAATTTCGTAAGTATCGTTGATAGAGCGGCATCAATTGCCAGGCCCTGTGAAATTGCCAATGAACACCACCAAGATCGCACAATAGGCTGCCGATGCCGCAAACAGTTCGTGTCTCGCCGCTTTTGTCAGTAGACTCATTGCAGCGCTGAAAAGTAGTGTGAATACGATCAACACGCCCACAGCGTTGAACGTGTCTCTACTGTCGATATCCACTTGACTTGTCGTAGTCGTGTTGCCTGAAGCATCCGTCACCACGTGTGCAGCAGTGTTGGTCAACTGGTACATGGTGATGACGGGGACGACAAGGAGACAGAATATGACGAATGTGATGAGCATATTCACAACTTTGTCGATGCGAGAGCTGCTGTAGAGGCATACGTAAGGGTCTGACGTCTTCTCCATAGCTTCTGGGGTACGGAAGTACTTCTAACAACTCGTTAGTATGACTCTCCGCCATGTTAGGCAGTTTTCAACTTACTTGTAGTGGGCGTTTCTTGGTACAAAAGACCTTTTGCAGGAAGCGATCGATTTGGCTGATCAGAGTCTCTACGCTGCCGTCGAAACTCGCCCACTCGCGACCATTGTGCAATGATACAATGTCTTCTTTGCTGCGGATAGCGTCCATCTCAGCATCTAAGAGCGGTTTCTTATTATTACAGTAGCGCCGTACACTACGGTAGTTGCGATCCGATGGCTTCTGGAAGGACTCTAGTGTTCTAGCCTTGATGAGGACTTCGTCTATGCAATGGTCAGTCGATCACGTACAGAGTTGCGTCCGCGCTCAACCACTACAAGATGTACGTACCATACTCCATCAGCTTGGCTTTGATATCCCGTAGTATGACTCGTCGGCTGCGGGGCGCTCCCTCGCCATCAGGCTGACTGTTGTCGAATTGCCTCGACTGCAACCGCGAAGGCTCTTCATCGAAATCGTCCCAGTCTATGTCGTCTAATTCCTTCTCCAGTGATGTGATCTCATCCTGCAAATCAAGGAGGACACGTGAATGGAGATAGGAAAATGAGCGATACAAGGAGAAGTTCGCTTCACTTGATTGGAATGCTGCAAGTTTTGGGAAGCCATTGGGTGTTTTTTCCACTGATTTTCATAAGTGTCTAGTCGGACGCGCTTTTGAAAGTGACTCACAAGTTCGCGTGACGTTCTCAGTCACATACTCATCCTCAGGCTCGGAGCGGAAAGGGACTGTAATACGTCGCAAGAAATTTGGTCGCTTCCTCTCGTTCTCTGGGGTTTGTTAGTCCTCAGTCATTCACGCCAAGTCTCTAACTTCCGATGCAGTCGATTTGGTATGGTATCTCATGGCCATATCGTGCATGCGTAAGCTGATGGTGGCAAGCTCCTTTAGGCAGGAGCTTTGTGTTGCTGACCTGACCTTTTTGGCCCCAATAGATTGCGGGGCCAGTATTTTTTGGGGGCCAAAAGGGATCTTGTGGGATTGCATACCAGGCTGTGCACTCTCAACATCAATTGAGTCTGCCCGCACCGAGGGCTGAATGGTAGACTGACTGTCTTCAACACTCTCAACGAAGTCCCCCGTTAAGGTCGCGTCGGTATTTGTGGGCGATACTGGCGATTGAGGTGTCTTCTCATCGGTGAAAGTATCGCCGGTCATGGTACGAAGAGGGGCCATGGTGATGCAAGAAGGAAGGCGCGGCCCGCACACAAGCGAAGAAGCGAGAAGAAGAAGACGAAAGCTTTCTAACGCCAGCAATAATCGCTCAGGTAAACATTAAGAGTGAGCTGTCTGTGGCTCAACAAACTGTGGCTCGAAAGCAGTGTATGTAGTATTGAAGGAATAAAGTTGAGGGGTTGCGATCGCCGTATCCGTAAGACTCAGCCCCAACGCCTTGAACTCCCCTTGCACAATTGGCTGTGCGCACCTGAATCACAGCTGCCTGGTGACACCGGTGAGCTCAGCCTCAGGCAATGTAGCACACCTCAGCTGCGAGGCTTCAGATCCCTCTCGCGCGTCCAGCCACTCGCCATCTCCAAGGAATAGACGTCCCGGAGCTGATACTCATGGTATCCCCTGGAACGGTTGTACTTGCGGTCGTAAACGGTAAAGACGCCCGTCGTTCGTTCACCGTTCGCCATGACGGGTTTCCGAACAACTTCGTTCTTGCTGAAGCGCGCGGGTGGCTGAGACAAAGTCAGAGCGTATCGCCTGAACCCATAAAGAAAGACTTACTTCAGCAAGGTTCGGATCATTCTGAACATTGGCTTTGACCTGGGGAGCTGCATCTTCCGGTGCGGCGTTCATGTATTCGTCCTGTGGCTAACAGTCAGCCGTGGAGCGGGCACCACTCAGCGTAGGGTCTAACCTCGACTGCCTGAAGAGGCTGTTCATCGAATGTGGTAGCCATGGTGATTGAGTTTATGGAGAAGTGAGGCAGGGAGCCTTGTGGATGATGCCCTGAAGTATGGTAGCAGCGTCTGCTATTATAGAAGTCCTTGTTGCTGGCCTCTTGACAGTTTGCCTACTGCAGCCCCAGGCAACAGAGGGTTGTGACCGGTACAGATTATGGTTGGGGGCCCATATTGCCTGCACAGCCGCGGCTTAGCCATGATGCATGCAGATAATTGCATACCCATCGCATGACAGTGCACTCTGCGGGTACAGTAGTGGTGAGCTCATGTCATCGCACCAGACCTCTGGCCATAAGCGGTAAATGCAGGCAGTCAATCCTGGCAGGGTGGTTCTTTGTAATTGGGGGTGGTGGAGGCTCAGCTTGACCCCGAACGCTCGGTGATGAAGTTGGCGGAGCGCTGATTGGCGGGGCGTGGCTGCATCTGCCATCTCCGCACTCGTCGAGCCGTGTTGCATGTCCCACCAGAATCCAATATGGGGGCTGAAAGCTGCTGCGAACGATTGCCCTCATTATGGCCCGTCGCCGCGAACCTGGAGCCCCGCAGCCTCATAGCTCTCCCACCCAATGGCTCTTTCTTCAAGCGCAACGGCGCATGCCTTGGACGCCATGGCAACTGAGGTGACCTCGCACGTTGCGAATCCCTACCCACACAAAGTCATCCATGCCGACATACGGATACAATCGATTGACGACGAGTCGGGACAGAGCGGCCCGCCGGCGCAGAGTGAGGAGCATCTGGTGGAGAGCAAACCGAGCGTAGCAGATGTCGTTTACCAGGTAAAGGGCGCTGAGATGCGGGAATGCTGGTCCAAAGCTATCGCCAAGAACATGGACCTGCCTGAGGGCTACTCCAGCGCTGCAGTCCTGATCATTAAGTGGGCGGATGCGCTGGACGACCTGAAGACCGGAGCAGAGGTATGTTGTACTCCAAAAACGCGTCGGGCGCGCATCGTCTGACCAGGACTACTGTAGGCCCGAGAACTCGATGCCCTCTTCCGCGAACGCTACCACTACAAGTCCGAAATCGTCGAGCTCGACGTCCGTCCGAAGCCTCAACATCAGCTCGAAAGCTCCGTCATCAACTTCATACGTGACAACGACGGACCGGAAAATCTGCTCATCGTATACTACACGGGGCACGGCGATTACAGCGAGGAGAGGAAGTGCTTGGAGCTCTCTGGCAGTCTCCCGAGTGACAACTCTGTACTACATGACAGAGGATTCCGGAAGAACGCGCGCGCAAACTGGACCCAAGCTGAGGACCGGCTACGCAGCGACGATGTAGAGAGCGATGTCTTGACCATTCTAGACACCTGCTATGCGAGCAACTTTGCCAAGTCGGGCAAAGAAGGCCACAAGAAGTTTGAGCTCCTCAGCGCGTGTGCGGTTGATCAATTGGCCGAACCTCCTGGTGAGAGGTCATATACCCGTGCGCTCATTGACGCCTTGAAAGCACTCCATGAGACAAACCCAGAGGGAGCAATATCGACCTTCCTTCTGCACCAGCGCATCAACATAGACAAACGACGCGTAGATACGCCCTCGCATATCTGGTCTCGAGGCAATAGCACACAGCACAGCGATCAGCATATAGTCTTGGCTCCTCTCAAGCTACAAAAAGACAATGCATCTCACTGGCGGCCCAAGCCAAAAGGCTACTTGACACTGCGGTTCGGTCTACGGGACTCGTCGCTGAGCCCAGAACAGATTGACTTCATGACCAAGAACCTGGCCAAAGCCTTCGGCAATAAGGCGTTGGTAGGTCTGAGAAGAGTCGATTGGGTCGACATCGAGCTTGCTCCACCCACGACGGACTTTGAGCGTGTAGATTTGAGCTCTCGCGCCATAGCACAGTGGAGGAAAATCGTTGAGAAAAACAAGAAGATGAGAGGCTCCCCGCTGATTCGGAAGACTGGTTCGGTGGGTGTGTCACAGAAGCGCACAAATGAAGATGCACATGATCTTCCGGAAGCGAAGCGCAGGTTCCTAGACACCTCGCACCCCCCTCCTTCACCACCGGTCTCGGAATCATCGCGCATTGACTAAAGCATGTGTAGGAAGGCTTTCTTTCCTTTGGAGCGACGATGACTTTCAGCGACGCATTTGCTTGTTTCTAGAATACCCATCCATTGCGCTCAATCGGCACGCGTTTCTTTCTATATCCTTAACTAAACCATACTCTATCTGTCTCTAGCTCCCTTCGAAGCTCTACGTATTTAATGTATTCGCAACTTAGATTGCACTTGATTCGTTCCGGCCAAGCATTTCCATCGGCTTCTACTCGGAGGTTGCCCAAACAGGTGGCGCCACTTCTTGGTCTCACCACTATCATCACGTTAAGCTTCGACAATGCAGCATGATAGCGCTAGACACGTAGCACAATACAGAGAACTACATCGAAGCTTCTCATCTACCCTGGTTGCTGCGTGATACCCTGATCAACACGTTCCGCTGATCATTTGCAGTGTGGTATAAAGTCGAAGCTTCCTTACGAGGATACGCTCACATCAACCTCAACATCAACATCCAAACCACCACTTCGATCTACAAGTCGCCATTGCAGCTTAAGCCTCTTCGGCGTTAGCCAGCAACCACTCTAATCATCAACATACTACCATCCAATGGCTGCACCCAGCACAACCGCCGCTACCATGCTGACGCCGGACCGACACAACCTCACCATCGGTCATTGTCGTGCGCAACGACAGGCACTCTATTCACATACCGACCTTGGTACACCCACGCTGCTACAGAAGAGGACGAAACCCATCATCTTTACCCCACGAGCAAGTGAGGATGAGTGGACGGAAAGTCAAGAAGAACTCGAGCGCTGGGGTATTGGAGCCACCGAGACGACCAAGCCAGGGTCTAATCCAGTCGCAACACCAAGCCGTTCGCAAGGGCGGGGTTTGGAGTACGGGGAAGTAATGGGATTCTGTTAGTGAAGAGGAGGAAGAAGAAGAAGGAACAAATGAGGAATGTTGTTAAGATTTCATCATGGCAATCGATTGTTTCTATCTCTTTATATCGGCCTCTCTCCTACTACTCTTGCTAACTAGTAATTCGCTTCTGCTTCGCGCACTGCACCTGTTACACTTCCCTCCAGCGCGCATACCCCTAGTACACTCACTTTCTGACATCGCAATCTATTAATCTAACTATCTCGCGATGCTGGCCTCTCTTCTACTACTCTTACCAACTAGTATGTCGCTCCTGCTTCGCGCACTGCAATGGCTACAACCAAATTCAGCGCGCTTGCCCCCAGCGCGCTCGCTCCTCCCCAGGAAGACGTCTCACATCCGCCGCCTAACCACGTCAAGTTCGCTCCTTCAACGAATGCTAGGCAGTTGAGCATGCTATATCTTCAACACCATTCGTCCGTCCCTATCTCTGTCGAACGTCCTCGCACCGCTACATTTCCCTGCTTTACCACCCCTCACTGGTAGCATCAGCTCGGTGTTGCTGTGTACTATCAACGCTCAGGCCGCCAAACGTTCATGCGCCGTTACATTTCCCTGCTTTACCCCCTCACTTGCAGCGTAAACTCAGTGTGGCTGCGTACTGTCAACACTCAGATTGCCAAAGGTCCACGCGCCGCTGCACCCCCCTGCTTTGCCAGGTTAAGGGTCTACTATGGGCAAAAGAAAGATCCAACATGACCCATACAAACAAAAGACTCTAGACAACTACGTCTCGCGCAACACCCGGCCCAGTCTTAGCAAGACTACACCAAAGAGCAAGGAAGCCGCCCCCGCCCAACCACCCAAGCCCATCAAGATTCAGTGGAAACGGCGACGAGAAGACGACGACGACACGGATGCGGCGCGGCCCCCCGCACAGGACACCAGGCTTACGAGAAGCGCCAAAAAAGCGACTACATGCAGGGTCAACCAGTCGACACGCAGATGAAGATGATGCTAGCCTGCACGAGTCCTACATAGCAGGAGCAACAGACGATGACACAGGTAGTTTTTTTGAGTCAGAGAACTACAGCGATCCCGAGGGCGACGAAGAGGATATGTTCCTGAGTTCAGACGACAACGAGGATGAGGCCAGCCAACCTGAGGACGAGGCCGACCAGCCCGACGAAGACAACGAGGACTATGCCGACCAGTCTGACGAAGACAACGAGGAAGAGGCCGACCAACCCGACGAAGACAACGAGGACGAGGCCAACCAGTTCGAATACGATGCCGACCAGTCTGACGAGGCCAGCCAGTCTGAGGATGCCGACCAGACCGACGACGATGCCGATATCCACCATGCGGACGATGATGACATGAAGGAGACACAGTACTCCCTCGAGATACCGCTACGCGACCAAGATCTCTTTAATGTTGATGTTACCGCCGCCGAGGTTACATCCATTGTGGAAAAAGTCTTACCTGCGCTGTCATCAAGAAAGATGAAGAACTTCTACAGAACTATCGCAGGCCATCTTGAGAAGTCCCCTCCATTTAGGATCCCGGCGCGCTCTCGACACCCCACAACCTGGTCGTTAGTCAACCCTGACTTCGATTTACTATGGAAGCACTCAGTCGACGGCGAGCGGGCTCTAGACCTCGGTGACCCAAGGGTGTTACCAAGATGGCTTAACATGTCAGAAGACGGTCTTGTAAAGCCAATTGGCTCGTTCACCAACACCCTACTACTGATATCCAGCTACCCGACAGCATTGGAGGAAGGCAGCGTACACAACCGCTATAGTACCGTAGATGATATGAGTAATGTTTGTATGTGGATGCTGTACACCAAGTTTGGGTACCACGTGGCGGACCTACGATCACACGGTGTAATGCACATAGACATTATGGCTCGACGCCTCGACGCCTCGACCGGAATCTGATACCAGGATCTGATGGAGACAAGCTCTTTCGAATTACACCATTAAACCAGTCTGGCACAGTGTCGTATGCTGGTATTGATGAAGTACAATGAATTATTCAAGATTGTTTACGTAGAGCGGGATATGTGTAGCTACTTTCCAACTAGATTAGATCCAAGGATGTTCACAACAAGCAGGGCTAGTGCGTGATCATCTAGACGATCGGATAAATTTCAGATTTGAAATTCTGTAGTCTCCGCTTCATGCAACGAAATAAGAGGACCCTGAGGAAGATAGCTAACCTCTAATGCGCTGGATAAAGGTTCTGTTGCAATTGCCCTGTGCCACTTATTGAGAAGATGCCAGAGAAGATAGCTAACCTCAAATGCGCTGGATAAGAGTTCTGTCGCAACTACCTCATGCCACTCACCGAGAAGGCGTGGGGAAGATGGTTGGCCATCGATGATGCGCTGGATGTGGGTCCTCTCGCGACTGCCTCATGCCACTCACCCAGGAGACGCGGGGAAGATGTTTGGCCATGATGCGCTGGATGTGGGTCCTCTAGCAACTGCCTCATGCCTCTCGCGACTGCCTCATTCTACTCGCTTCTGGCACACAGCACTCGGGTTATCTAATATTCAAATCTCTCGTGCTTTACGCGTTTTGAATCTGTCCTTTACGTTTTCAATCTGTCCCCTACGTGTGCCAGTAAACGCATTGCATTCCCCAAGACCTCGATTACCATGCCGCCACCGCGCTCATCCAATAAAGAAAACTCCCCACCTGCGAAGAGACCCAAGAAGACAGTACTGTCGGCAGCAGCCTCAAGAGCTCGCAACGCGCCTTTGACTGGAGCACTGTCGGAATTACCGTCCCAACTACCTGAACCGCCACAAGGATACCAGACAGCGCGGACTCGATCATCAACAACGAAAACAAAATGACCCCCTGCGTTTACGGTATTCACCGACAACACCAGAGCGACAGAGCAAATACTAGACGACGCGGATCCCACAACTAGCATCATTGACGAATGCACAGTACCTGACATCGTTGACCGATGCTCCCTAACAGATAACGACCTGTTCAGTGAGCTAACCGTCGACGAAATCCGCAGTTTGGTAGAACGATTGTTGCCAGACCTCCAAGAAGATGGTAAGCTCTACTCTACAGCACGTAAGGCGCATATGTACTGACTTTACCAGGAGTTCAAGAGTTCCTTGCGACCGTCTATGACCACGCATGCACATCGCCGCCTTTCGTTATACCCCGCCGAGAGCGAGATCCGTCCACCTGGCCGCTTACGTATCCGGACATGGACTTCGTATGGGGACAGGCAGTGGAAGGCGAACATGCTATTGAGCTCCCGGACACAATGGACAATTGGATTGACATGAGCGAGAGCAATTTGGGTAAGTTGTCAACGTGAAGTACGTTGGATAGCCTCCAAGCTAATTACGCTCACGCAGTTAAACCTACTGGAAGCCTCCGCGATACCCTTCTCATTGTCAGCTCATACCCCACTGCCAAGGAGGATAGCACAGTTGATCGATCGTATGGTACCACCCTAGACATTTCAAACGAGTCCATGTTTATGCTCTACGCCAAGCTTGGCCACAACGTATCCTCGATCAGAAACCACGGCGCCCTCCACTTGGACGTGTTCCCCAGGCGAGTTGACCGCAACATTGCACTCGGTCTCGGGAATATTGTCGACCAGGTTCCGACCAATCTCGGCATGTATTGGAGACTCGTGGTTCGTCAGCTCATTGAGTCATCGCATTCCAAACTGGCTCTCCTCGTCGGGTCCGCGGGTGTTGCCACGTACGTCGACTATCTCAAACAAAACAACATCCGCTATCAAATATTTGGCTATCGAACAAAAGCGTGCAAGGCTACTAGAAAGAGAATCATCATGGAGTAGAACAGGTTGCAGATGGAGAGAGAAGCGCAAAAGAAGAGTGAAGGTGAGGCTCCAAAACGGCGAAAGCATGGCAGAATGCCGAAGAGCCTACAGTAAGCTACATACGTTGTACCTAGGACTGCGACGAGTATCTATTCCCAAGTGCCTCTACTATCAACTAAGGTTGTTTGATCCATAAGGTGTGTCACGCGGCAGCATTTAGAGAGAGGTAAAGAGGTAGCAGAAAATCCGGCTGCGGTCTGTTGATACAGCTGTCTGGCGCCTACGTATTCTTGTAGCATAGCACATTGGCTGTATTTTGGCACGTGTATTCTGCAAACTACAATTTCGGCGCCCTCACTTGAAGCACTTCATCAGAACAATCGCCATTTCGTGTTGCTGCACTTTGTGATTCGGTGTTCTCTTATGTCGCGGATAACGTAGAGAAGGGTCTAGAGAGACGCGTCGAAGTGTTCAGACGGCAGCTTGTTGGTAAGGGTTTCTCCCACGTGTTGCACTTACCAGTCACATTTCTCTTCATATAACAGTGCAGTCTTGTTACGCGCATACAACCTTGAGCGGGATCTTCTTTCTTTTTCATAGAGCTCAATACAACTTCGCATAACTGGGCAACAGTTCCCTGACCGCGCTCTGTTGCTCTGCTCTGCATCAACATCTCACCGTAATACGTAGGTACCTTTGAGATGAAGTAATTATCAGCCAGTTCGTGTCATTTTGGAGCGCAATAGGTAGGTATAGTGAAACTCATTTGCGTGTAGAACCGAAATGTGTCTGACCTGCGCGAGCAGCCGCATCCCGCTGAAGCTCCCTAAGTTCGCCAACGAGAATATAGACAACGTTCCCTCCCCGCCCAAGTTTGTCGCTCCCGTGCGCCCTCTTACACCCCCACTCCCGCTATTGCGACCCTCTCTGCCCTTCACACCTCCTTCGCCTTCGCCTCCACCTTCGCTGTCATCAACCTTGACTAAGCTTTTTCTTGTTCTACAAGTTGAAGATGCAGACCCCAAAGAGCAAGGGAAAGGCGCTGAAGCGGAGGGAATAACGAAAAAAGGAGGAGTGAGTAAGTTTTGAAATCGTGAGATATACTGTAGATGGTAGGCCTGTCACAATCGAAGAATACACGGATTGAATACAAGAAGTGGGACTTGGGAGGATTACATCAAAGTTGCAGTGTGATGGTGATGTCTTCTCATCGGGCTCGGCACGATGCGTGGGCGGGAGATCCGCTAGCGGCGCACTGCTGATTGGTTTCATGCAGGTCCGCTTCAACCCCAGAAATAACTCCCCAAGCCGCGCATCGTGAGCGCCGCTGCCACCAGAGTGTTGCGCCCGTGCTGCTGGCGAGCGCTTCCGATATTCTTCTAATCCTGCACTATGTAGAGCGCGAGCACGTCTATTATACCAAGGCTCGAAACCTCCGGCACCATGGACACGATCGCAGTGGCCCCCAAGGCGTCGGCGCTGGCGTCGCCCAAGATTGTTAAGAATGCAAAGGGCAACATTGTGCCGAGCAGCCAGATGGCGCATATCGCGTATGGATGCGGTAAGCGCTCTGCCATCCAGACTGTCAGAGGAGGCTGCTAACACATGGCAGAGCACATGGGCGAGATGTTCGAGAAGGCGCGCAAGCAGACGCTCCAGCACTACCGAGCCATCCTCCAGAATATCCACGAGAAGCCGAGCATAATAGCGCAGACGTACACTGCGCCGGCGGATGCGCGCAATGTGGTATCCCTGAGGCCGCTGTACCTGTGCCTGCAGTGCCCGAGCATCATGACCGAGGTGGATCGCGATTTGCACTTCGAGACCAAGTCGCACTGTTTCTGTGGGTTAGACAATGCCATGGGAATACAAAGGGCTAACAGGAAGCAGCTGTGGAGTCACGAGACGGCAACATATACTGTGGCAACTGCCAGGACTTCATCTACGACGAGACCTTGGACGTGCTGAGAGTACAGAAGGGTGTGTGGCGGCATGCTCATGCTTGAAGGAATCAGACTGGCTGACTACAATACAGGCAAGAAGCGAAAGTATGAAGACAACACCACGACCGAAGACCACAAGCTCGTAATCAGCAACTCGACCTTCCTCCCCTGCCGCGCGATAGGCCTGCGCGGGCTCTATAATATGGGCCAGACATGCTTCATGAGCGTCATCCTACAAACCCTCGTCCACAACCCGTTCATACGAAACTTCTATCTTTCCGAAGGTCATAAGCAGACAGAGTGTGAGAGGGACTCATGTGTGAGCTGTGCGCTGGACGAGATGTTTGTCGAATTCCACTCAGCTGAGAAGACGGAGGGCTTTGGCGCTGTCAGCATGCTCATGGGCAGTTGGCTGGCGGGGGAAGCTCTTGCAGGATACCAGCAGCAGGATGCGCACGAGTACATGCAGTTCATACTCAACACGCTGCACCAGGCGAACGGCGGATCGACAGACGACTCGGAGGATTGCAAGTGCGTAGTACATCAGGCATTCTGCGGGAAGCTCTCAAGTACGGTGACATGCGACAATTGCCGCAATGTGACCACGGCGCAAGACCCGTATATGGACCTTAGTTTGGACGTACGGATACAAGGCAAGAAACGGAAGATCAAGGAGGAAAAGGGCGAAGAGACACCTCTGGATTTGAGGGACTGTCTCGAACGCTTCACGGTAAAAGAGAAGCTGGGCTCAGCAGAGTACACATGTCGAAATTGCGACAGTCCGCAGAATGCGACCAAGCAGCTGAGCATCAAGAGGTTACCACCGGTTCTCTCCATTCACCTCAAGGTAAGTACCAAGAGCCGTCCGTAGCGTCCCTACACTGACAATTACCCAGCGCTTCGAGCACACAAAATCCACGTCCTCCAAGATCGAAACCCCTGTTCGCTTCCCTGTCAAACTAGACATATATCCCTACACGACCTCCCACAAAGCCGTCATGCGCGCCGTGAAGACCTCCGGCGCACCGCTCTCGAACCACAACGTCAACAGCCCGGCGAACGCCCTCGTATACGAACTGAGCAGTGTCATCGTGCACAAAGGCAAAATCGACTCTGGACACTATGTCAGTTACAGCAGGGAGGGTAATGACTGGTTCATGTTTGACGACAGCAAGGTAGTGCTGGTCAGTGAGGCAGAGGTCCTTGCTGCAGAGGCCTATCTGCTATTCTACATGGTTGGCGGACTAGAGGTATAGGAGCGTCCTTGGAGGAAGGTGGAGTTCCGGCAGTTTGGTGTACAGTATCTCTGCTCGGGCATGTTACAGGCCCATGAGCTGCATGATTGGCGTTTAGAGGGCACTCCGGCGTTTGTGAGGGCAAGTTGAGACGCCCTCTTTATTCTAGGATTATTTGGCATACGGGCTTCAACGTTATCACTTTCTCAATACATTACAAGTTTTCTTCCACAAACTTCCACCAGCCTCACTACGCAGTGGACCATCCTGACTTTCTTCGAACGCATTGGTGTTCATCATCCCCCTTCCCAATCAGGCCGTCCGTCCGATTCATGCCATCACAACCTCTCCACTCGGGAAACTTTGCCGCGGCCAATACCGCCGCACACATACAAACGCGCCGTTTCAACGCTCACTTCGTAGGGCAAAAAGCGATCTGAGCAGCACCTATTTTCACCGCAAACAGGTACATCCGGTGGCTTTACACCGCTCATCACAGCCTCTTGCAGCAGCCACCCCACTCATGCAATATATCTGCTATCGTTCAATGATTCAGTACTTCGTTGACTACATATATTAAGGCATCGCTGCCTCCAATGCTCCCATTTGAGTTTATTATTTTTAACTTCATCTACTAATTGAACGGCGATTTCGCCTTTGTCGAACTCGAAGAGATATTGCTTCTTGAGCTGGAATCCTCAAACATGGTTTCGATCTGGGTATTAACCGTTATCCCCTTCCCGCTCACAAACTGCTCAACGCCGCCTATTTGATCCGACGGCGGATCTGTGAAGAGCGAGTCTTCTGATCCGTTTGCTCGATTCCGGGTGTCGTGTGTGGAGTGCAGACCGCCGGAGATCTGATTCGAAGCCGTCAGACGGTTTCCGCTGGCTTTTCGCCGCGCGGACGAAAGTTCGTAGTGGCGGCCGTAGCTGTTGGCGGAGTCTTTGGTGGTGTTGTTTGTGCCGAGGATCATGGAGCGGAGGGCGGGGAGACAGGTGGCAATTATGGCGATGGCCGTTTCGATCATGGAGACGGTACAGGTTAGCATCGTTTCGTTCCTGTGCGAGTAGTAGGCTCGGACGACTGGCAAAATGTTAGTCTGATTTCAGTCCGTCTCGAATCTGATGGGGACGTACTGCTGGCAATAACGACGAAGAAACCCAAGGCGAAGATTCCGGCTACGCCGATCTTCTGCTTCAACTTCATCTGCAGCCTGGAAACCATGGTGATGGGCAGGCAGATGATGAACACGTCGGTCGCGATGTTGAAGCAAATGGTGATCCAGTAGTTGATCTCGGCGGCTTTGGGACTGCATTGATCTGCGCATGGTCAGTCTCCACCGTTCGCATGCATGTGGGTCAGGGTTTGCTTTTGCTCACAGGCTGGGTTATTCGACCATCGCTTGTCGTGGGGGAAGCACTGGAAGATGATGTCGAAAAAGATGACGAGGTAGGTGACAGCTAATCCGGCAAGCGTGAAGTTATACACAAGGACCAGACGCGAGCCGGGAGCAGCCAGGCTCTTGTAAAAGAAGACCAGGGCAAACTTGATCGCCCATAGTGAGGAAACGTAGAGCGTCGATCCGGGGATGATCATCTGCATTATGCCCTTGAAGTTTTCTGGGGTTATGGACGCCATGTCGCCGAGCCCCAGGTTCCACATGTGCTGCTGGATGATGAGGTCCCCGATCAGACATGCCAGAGAGAGTAGGATCAGATAGTCGTCAATTCCAAGGTTGCCCAGTCTCGACCATCGCGCATACATGCGTAGCGCGACAAAAGGCACCGTGGCTACGGTACAGATATACCATGACACCTGTCAACTGAATCAGCACTGC